TATATGTGAGACTGTGTGTGTCTGAGTGCCTGTGGGTGAGTGCGTCTGTATGTGTATGTGTTTGTATATGTTTGTGTACATAAGCCTGTTACGGAATGTAGCCTAGTTCGTAGTGAGAGTGGGATGCCACAACCGCGCCATACCGACTCCAGCAACAGGCAGGCAAGACCCCCAGTAGCCAATAGGGGTGGGAGAGAAGTCGACTCCCAGTGAATGAAGACAATTTTGTAATTATCCTTATGACTCTGCATTATTTTACTTGCTGTGTAGGCCTACCAACCAATCCACTCTTTTTTACCTGTTAAAATACATGTAAATGGCCAATATTCCTCAATAAATGCAGTATCTCACTTGCCAGAAAATGATTGAAACCTTTATTGACTGTAAGGTTATTTCTGCCCTGAAATTGATTTCATTCAGAAGAGTTATATTTGACAGATTATAGCTCACCTGGTACTTTTTACCTCTTAAAAATACTTTAAATGGCCAATACAACCCATAAAATGCAGTAGGCTATATACTTGCCAGAAAGTGATTGAAGAGACTGGGCAATACCGCTCCAGCAGAGGCGATCACTTTTCGGCACGACACCTGGCACCCCACCACCGCGGAACGGGCAACCAAACCGCCAAAATGCCACGCAATCATCAACATCAGCGCACAAGTGACGAACCCAACCCGCACACCGCACAAGCACAGTGACACCCACCGCCAGGCATTATGGCAAACCATTAGTGCCAAAAAACATCACTCTTGTAGCACAGCACGCCCTCCGGCCGCCATGCAACGCCAGCCAAAACAGGACGAGGCAAAATCAACTAGCCCAGCTGTATGTCACTGCCAAACCACCCAGCTGTCAAGGGCCAAGAACCCCAGTCACACGCCCAGAATAAACCCAGAGCACAGCTCCGCCCCGCACACATCCTGCACATCTGGACAACTAACTACCTCAGTCTCCAGAGGATTCCGACAACCGTCCGACAGAGAAACTGGAGCACGGATCTGAGGTCAACGAGGCAAATCAGGGACGCAAACTAGTCCCCCCAAGCTAACCAGGAAATGCCTCCCCTGGACTCCACTGCACAAACTAACGTCCAGCAGCCCCCCAGAGACCCTGTACAGAAAAAAAACAATGCATCGGCAATCGCCCCACAATCCCATCGCAGCCCTCTGAACCGCAACCAGACCGAACCGCGCCACGCCCAGAGAACCCACCCCCAGTAGCCAGGGCACATGTTCTGGGGAGAGCTGCACCCCGCCCCAAGGGAGAACAGCTGAGAGCCGTGCCGGGGAGCGATAACGCGGGAAAACCAGGGCCGACAGTCCACCAGCCCAGCCGTGCTGGTTTCACATTTCAATTAAAATCACTTTTATTTATATAGCGCCAATTCACAACAACAGTTATCGCATTGCACTTTTCATATAGAGCAGGTCTAGACTGTACTCTGTGATATTATTTCCACAGATTCAACTATAAAATAATAATTGTAGCAGCGGGTGGTGAGCAGGAACATGAAGGCAGCAGGTGACTCGCAACCACAGATCCAGACCCCACAGCTCCAGAGCCAGAAACACCTGTAGAAAGAGACAGGAAGAAAGAGTCGAGGGACGAGAAAGCACAGGACTACATGAAAGGGAAGAAGTTGAGTTAGTAACATGCATTAATAGAATGTGGTTGCATATAGATGGAGAATTCATGTTTCACAGATTCACGTGGTTCCTTTCTGTGTAATGAAATTAGAACAGCAGCCAACCTAAACGAAACAGCCCTGCCATAAAATCTATTCTATCTACCTGTACGAAGCTTATAATGCTCAGACGATATTCAGGCTGAGATGTGTTAATAATAATAATAATAATAATGTGTTGTGTTGTCTGAAGATATTAAATATAGAAATGTCAAAATACATTATTCATTTAGCTGACGCTTTTTTCCAAAGCAACTAGGGGTTTAGAGTCTTGCTCAGGGACAAATTGTTGTGTCACAGTGGGGAAATGAACCCGGGTCTACCACACCAAAACCATGCGTCTTATCGACTGGAGTGGGCTTTAAAAACGTTGCATAATGTCTTCTGTGGCCCTGGGGTAGTTTTCAAGTCTGAGAAGATCATGATGATGTCATTGGAAATTTCTGGGTTTTGGACATTTAAAAAAATACAGGTGTCATAAGGGTAAAGGTAATGCGCTCAGCAGGCTATTTTGACGGTTTGTTGTTAAAAGGACCATGGTTCCTACTCAGTTGTTTCATGTAGGCCCAAATGATGATTACGTCTGTGTTTCTGTTTGGAATATTCATGATCTCATCATCTTCCCTCAGTGGTGCAAGCAGCGTCCCATACTGATCCCAACAGAGTCCTTTAAAACACATTGGCAGGATGTGTTAATCATAGCCCAATTATTAAATAGTGACTAAAGTCAAGATGCAAAGTGCATTAGCATATCTGAAACAGGTGTTTAGTAGGGTGCTGCATCCTGAGGTAAAATGGTACAAAAATGTTTAGGGCACAGACTTTGCACTCAAGAAACGTTTGAGTCTCCCCTACTGTAATAAAACCTAACACAAATTCATTGGCACTTTTTTTCTGGGCATCCATTTCACAGGTAGAGCATGACTCTTTAAATGTTTTCACTCAGAGTTTACACTTTTTTTGTTCGGTAGTTAATTAATAAGTTTCATTTTTGTGGCACTATAAACCGGAAAACTTTAATTTTTAATGGGTAAACTGTCTAACTTCCGGTCTAGTTTTGGCTAACAGGGGCTAGCTTGATGCAGCTTCTAGCAGGTAGTTAAACAGCTTGCGTGTTTGGTGTAATTATGGTGACAATGACAGGAACAGACTGGTCATAACAGCCCCGCTAATTACCCTACCTCTGAAAAACTAAACGGACACGAGAGACAAGACAACTCACTTCTGTATTTCTTTCCTCTCAAAGCTACACGAAGCTCGCTGCATCATTAAAGGACCAGAAATGAAGGCAGGCAGTGACGGCAGCGCGGCTCTGCTGAAAGATGTGTTTTGGCAGATCTGAGTTGAGCAGGAGGCAGGCGGCCCCTGGTGGGAGCTGAGAGGACAGAGTCACACTGCACAATCTGAAAAGTAGGATGACAGCCACACCGGGGAAACTCGCTCATCATTAGACATGTCCCCATTGTGCCCAATTTACTGTAAAAGGCATAATGGTGAAATCATTATTTTGCTGCTGGAACACCATCCAGGACCTAACATTTGTAAACAGCGTCATCAAAATGCATTAGCCTAAACCTGCACAGAGGGAGGCTTATGAGGAGTTTATCTGAATGGCTTGTTTGCATAAATGTCAAATTACAAAACAAAAAAATGTTACCACTGACCACGTTCGCCAATTGCACATATTTTAATTTGGGGAGAGAAATAACCACTAGTCATATTTATTTCAAGTTTGAACAGATAGCCTAGTTTAACAGATAATGAACAGAGCAAGAAATAGCCCAGGCTAGAAGTTTTCCACTGAGAGTAAATCACCATTTTATGACACCCAGTTCAGCAGCCTATAAAATAAATTGCTCGTTTTATAGTTTTTCTCAATAGGCTGGTTCCAGTGGGCAGGCAAGGCATTTAAGAGACAGACAGGCTGGTGTTAACATTAGAAATGACACAGGAAAATGAAATGCAGAAAATGGCGGCACTTGAATGAAAAGCTAAGTGTTCACTGGTAAAGACTGGAAATGTTTTCCCAGTAGGTCTACATGTAAAAAGCTTTCTTTATCAGTTTAAGAAGTCGTTTTATTGTGTGTTGGCTACAAAGGAGAAGATGCTTAGGCGCCAAAGATGGTCGGGTCAGCTCTCATTTTGACTTGATATAGCAGATAACAACCATGGATAACAGATCAAACAAATGGATCGGTACCATGTAATAATGCAAAATGTTCATTGTTTTAGATGTTTTTCATGTTATTCCCGACACACTTTAGTTATAACAAAAGACGGGCCTACAATTAATCTTGTTAAACATAAAACATTTCACATTATAATGTGACTTATATTGTAATGATGTTATAACAAGAAACTTTTATAACTTGTTTCTAACATGAAATGTCTCCCATTATAACAATATAAGTTTGCAGAAGGGCTGGTACAAGAAAGAGTGTCTGCAGGCAACAGTGAAACATGGTGGAGGTTCCTTGCAAGTTTTCGGGTGACTTTCTGCAATTATGATAACATTGGTATGTTAATGCAATGCTGACTTCTGTATTTGACTAAAGCTGCATTAAATTAGTAAACTTTGATAGATTTATTATGCTCACGACAATGAGCACTGTGCTCATTGTCTTGTCTTTGATGTTCAATTCTACCATCTTTTAGTAGAATATTAACTTATTTTTAACTCAACGCAAAGCCCCAGCAACTTGTTTCAATAGGAAGAGCAAGCTGTATGTAAACTCAGGGCATAGCACTCTCGGCACGACTCACTGCTGCTCCTTCAGCTCATTGCTTCGAGCGTGCAGTAATAACTGAAGGCATCCCAGATGAGGCTATTCAGCAGTGTTTAGCCACTCTGATCTCTGGACTATGGCGGCTGGACAGTAACAGGGCAATGTTCAAGAAGACTTTGAATAACAACCTGAAACAATTAAAAAAGGACAAAAACAGAATTCTATATCACACACTTGACCAGTTGGATTAAAGGGGTTGCCAACTTTAAAATGTTATTGTATTTTTCACAAAGAATTATAACTTCATGGTTCATGTCTTTGGGTACCCTTAAAGGCAAACGTTGAAAGGTTACTTATTGTACACTAAATGACTGAACGTGGCAGCCTCATTTAGTTAAACAGCTACTATAAAGAGAAAAACCTTATTGATAAATGTTTAAAACGATTGATATCAAAATATTGACAGCAATAGAACACGCTTGTCTGTTGAACCATTGACCACTACTCCTGCATGCCATGTGTGCTTGTTGATTCCTAATCAGACAGTAACACCTGTATTTTAAGTATATCAACAAAGACAACGATGACTGAAGCAAAAAGATTTTTTTTTTAATTCAAAGTTAATCTTGACATAGTACACCATCAATTCATAATTTGACACTTACCAATAAGAGTCACCAAGAAGGAACCCGCTTTTTGTGACAAAGTACATAGGGCTTGGTCACATTGAAACTCACTGAGAACTAGGGGGTGGGAACGACCGCAAACTGTTAAGACACACATGAATACATCCAAACATAATCATTTTCCCAGTCCTCATATTGTTGTATATTGCACAGTGCAGTTGCTACATGTCAATCTAGTGTAGCAAAAAAAAAGAATCAAGGAAATACAATAAAATAATAAAGCCACACATGTCTACACATATTTAGAACAGTAACAGTTTCAATTTAGCAATCATGTCTACATATTTGTGTCTAAATACAATAAATGTCAACCCGATAATTAGATAGTTGTGGTACAAAATCTACGTAAAATGTGTCTTAGAAGTCAAATATTTCTTTTTTCAGCCCAGTACCCAAATGAGATGGTCACACTCGTGTTTGTTGAGTTGGCAGTTTTGTCATGAGGTCCCAGGAATTGAAGGCCCACAGGGACCAAAACCTTCATTTCTGAAAGATAGACTACAGCCAAATCTCTCTCTATTTGCCATATCCATTTTTTTGTTAAGAGGGACAATAAGATGAATTTCCCTGCTTTTATTTATACTTTAGACTGCTGAGCGCCATGTGCTTGTTGAGCTTTGACTGTAGGACTGTGACCCACATGTGACTTTGATGATGCAACTGTCAGCATTAAGGCTGCAGGGAGGTGGGATTATCTATCCTAAGCAATCAACCCAAAGTGGTGGGGGATTAGGGCATGGGACTCACTGAGGTGGGACATGTGTTCATCTCGTCACAAGTGCTGAGCTGACGGAAAGAACAGACATATGATGACAGATGAGAGGCTGCACACCACAGGATGAAAACAACATTTTCCTTTAAGTAAAGTACAGATGAGTGTGCCGTGACACACCTATCGGTTCTAATTTTAGGCTGCACACCACGTTGAACAGTGCATCCTCTCTTTTGTCTAAGGACCATCAACACAGTAGCATATTAGACGAGTACACAAAATACACCCATTACAAGCAATGTAGTAAAACCATTACAATGTAATACATTAAGTAGGGGTGTCCTGCAAAAAATATTTGCTCAGTTTCATGTTACAGTAAGACATTGTACATGTTACTATGACATTATTTCGCATTACTAGATAATTATTATTATTTTTATTTTTTTACAAGAAATGTTTGTTATATCAATAAACATCTCTTAAAAACAGAAGTATCTAGAATTAATGGGAAAATACGTCATAACATGAAAAATCTCTTGTTAGAACGTGAAAAGGATCTTGTGAAAACTCAGAAACAAGAAAGTTAGCAAATTTTTTTTTGGTCACAGTGGCAATATGCTGCCATAGTTGAGGATGGGACAACTTTGGACCTAAATGTTGAGTATGATTGAGAGATAAAGCATTTTGAAGAAACCCTGAAACACAACCTATGGTAATAGCTGCATACAAGATCTATCAACATCCCATCACAAAATGAGAGCAAATGCTGTGTAGCCATCAGAAATGCAACAAATAACTCATTTGCAAACCAAAAACAGATGTCTCGAGTTCCACAAATACATTCACGTTGAGAATAAAGCTTTGTATTTGTGTTTATTCAGGCCCTATGTTTTTGAGTACTGCACGGTGTTCTTGGTGAGCGCAATAAGTCCCTGACTTGTACTTTCTTAGGATTCTGTAAAAAAGATTGTTTTTAGACCTCATCTTAGTCAAACAAATAACTTTGGGGTTTTGTGAGCTGATCCCCTTAGAAGGAAATAGTCTACAAATTTTCAGACTGCTTTGATATCAATGCAAGACGTCATCTGTCAGCCACTTGTTTGAAGAAAGGCACTAGTTGTACAGTACGGAGAGTTGCAAATACAGTCCAATAACGGAAATAAAAGCCATGTCATCAGAAGAAAAACGATAATACATTAACACCACACTGGTTACAGAATCCAAGAGTGAACCCAGCCTACATTTCAAATACTGATGCTAAATGCACACGCACAAAAACACACACACACACACACACACACACACCAAAAAGCAACAGAATAACTAAATAATAAGAGAAAACTCATAACTTCCATTACAGCAGTTTACAATCACTTCAAAACAACAAAGCCAATATACAGAGGCACTAGCATATAGGAATAGCATTCAATATACTCCAAAATAGAACCCACTTCTATTGTCTCTAGTTTTCAGAACTACAATACAAGAGAGGGAGAATGCAGGCTAGAATGAGATTAATCCTCTAAATTCACAGCTACGAAGTGGCAGATAATCAGTACATAGCAGCTTATTATCTATACATTCCAAATACAATTTGCCAAACATAGCTCAGAAAAATAAAACCTCAACCTCATTTTTAAAATAGAGATCTCACAATATATTCCAATGGTAGTAACTGCAACAGTATGCTGGAGGTGAAAGGAGAAATTGTATCGACCATGCTTCAGAAATGATTAATGAACAGTCTTTGGTGCTGATTGGAGTAAAAATACCAGCTGATATGACAGGTAAATACACAGCTCTACTACACACTGGAAATCAAAAACACAAAATCAAGGCTATGCATCCACCCTGAAGGAATGTATCAAAACTGACAACAGGCTTCAATACATGGACAAAAGTTTTGCCTCACACAAATATTTGAAACAATTACCGATACAGATCTAACACTCAACAGCCCAGCAGTGATACTGTAAGTTTATAGGTTATTTCAAACACTGAGAAGCATTTAAAAGTAAAAACATAAAACAATCTTTTTTTTTTAAGTCTATGCCACTCCCAAAAAACTAAAACATAAAATGCATTAATGCAAGTCCAGCCTAAACGCTAAATAAAAACACAGCAACCCAGAGGCTATCTAGATTGTATTGCAGTTACAGTAAACAGTGACAATACTGTTATGAATTAAGTACTATAGTGAATAGAAATCGATTATCAAAATATCAAATCACTCTTTATGTACATAAAAAGCTCATTCAGTCAAAGCCCTAAATGTGCAGCCTCTAGCTAAAGTAAATCAATACTCTGAGTCACAAAGCAAACTGAAGTCCAACATTTGCCAATATTAAAACATAACCACAAGCATTATCCTCATATATATCCAATAAGCCCATCGTGTTCAGAGTCTGAAGGTTAAGTGCTGCAAACCCATTTAAATGTACAATCTATAAGCTCCTGAAGTAACGTCATAGACTCTGGTTTTAAGGCACTAGGAGACGGCAGCAGTAAAGTCTGCCTCAAACGATGACAGGAGCATTCAATCCTGGTTAATACAGACTTGGATGGCTTAACAAACAGATCTGACCGGCTAGCACATGCTACAAGGCAACAAAGATAAAGGGAAGGGGGAAGGCTGATGGGCCTGACAGCGATTACAACAAATGATTTCCAGCCTGTAATTGGATCCTATTCTCTTAACACTACTCAAACAACAAATGACAGGAGGTAATGTGCAAAGGACACATTCTTAATTAAAATGTCCATGTCATCATATGTGAATTCATTCACTTTTGTGATGCTCTCTTATAAAGCTTTGCAGTTTAATCAATCACTGTTTCCTCCGTTGGCTGCCATGATTTCGCAGGAGGTTTTCCAGAGTTGAAGTTGCTCTGACAATCAAATATGATCACCGACCTCCAGATTACAGAGGCTGTGTCACCATAAAACATCATCTTCAGCACTGTTACTCTTCTTTATCCACCCCCCATGTTACATTTTTATCCATCATCCGCTTGTTAACCATATTTTCTTCTTCCTCATCATAAGTGTCCGTTTTGTGCTCTGCTGCTAGCTCTACCTGCCCAGGTCGCAGCCCCAGTCCATTTCCTGTTGCCCCTCCTCACAAGAAGGTACTGCTGCGGCCCCGCCCTGCTCCTCAGATATAAGAGAACTGGGGGTGGTGGCTGAGCTTCGTGGGGCTCAGAGGGAAGCCTGTGTAGGCGGCCGGGGAGGCCATGTAAGGGTGAGGAGGGGGGAAGGGAGGCTTGAACTGGTGGGGGTGGTGGGCATAGCCAGGCTGGTGATGTGGGTGGATGGTCGGGGAAGGAAGGAGCCTGTGAGGATGGGGAGCGGGGTGTCCAGGGTGGTGGGGGTGGGTGCTGATGCCCAGGGTAACCTGGTGAACTATAGTGCCTCCCTGGGGGTGGGAGAGACTGTAGCTGTGCTGGAGGAGAGGGGGAGGAGGAGGGCGAGAGGGCAGGATGGTGTGGGGGTGGTGAGCGGCGGTGAGGGGGCCACTGGGAGGGTAGGACAGCAGGGTGTGTGTGGGCAGGCCTTGGCTGTGAGTGTGCGGGCCGGCCGAAGTGTGCGTGGGGCTGCTGTGCGGCAGGTGTGTGAAGGTGTGTGTGTGGACAGTAGGGGGGATGTAGGCGTGCGGTCGCAGCGGCCCATAGTTGCCGTTCCACTCTTTGTTGCTGTGGTTTGAACCGTACGGCTGTACCTGAGAGAGAACAGACGAGAACAATCCGTTTAACACCGCTACATTAGGCAGTCTGTTGAAGAAATGGTTTGACATTTTGGGAAATATGCTTATTCGCTTTCTTGCTGAGAGTTAGATGACTGATACCACTCTCGCATCTGTCTGTTCAATATGAAGCTGGCAGCTGGTTAGCTTAGTTTAGCAGCTAGCTTAAACATTTAAATCCAGCCCTTGCTTCAGGAACTGACCGGAGACATGTACACAATTTACTGTATCAGACCAATTATGAAATAACTCAACTGTGTCAATTCTGCATTATATATATATGCTAATTTACATATATAGTATGTTCTCTGGAGGCAAGACTTAAACTGCCTTAGTAACTAAGTATCAGAATATCTGTGGGATTTTCACATCTGTCTGCTTCCAACAGCTCCCACAACATAGCCTTTGGGTTCAGACTTTTCCAAACTTTACCAAAGGAAATACGGTTTCTTGCTACCCACACCTGATTTTGCAAGCAGTTGTGTAAGCTCATTAAAATACAACTTCATATGACACCAAGCAACACAGCCCCCATTATTTTCAAGTCAGGAAAAAAAACTAAACAAACAAAAAAACAACACAACACTAGTTTCAGAAAGAAAATTTCCAAACTTCTACTGCAAATCACATGCCATCCATTAATGTTCTAGGCCTGGCTACGGACCTTTGAATCTGCCCACTCCAACGAGCTGACTGATTCTAGTCTGGCATCATGACATGGAACAGCAGCTTCTCGGTTAAAAAGCGATCAATCCAATGAGCGCCATGGGGGGGACTAATCATTAGCCAATCAGCACCACGGGCGGGACCAACGCTGCTGTCAAGCTGTGCGCCGGAACCGAGGAGGAGAAATAACAATGGCGACTGCTACAGACTAGAGAGGCGCTGCTGTTGAGGCTGTTCTAAATCGATTGAAAGTAAGCAGTTTGTTTTTACTTTGTTCCACTCTTCCACTCACCCCTGCAAAATCAGTATGTTGTAATGGCTTCACATCAGTGTCAACTTAAAATGCCAGGTTCAAACAAATTCATTGGTCTTGAGTGGAGGTAATGTCAGAAGATGAAGTGTAACAATTGTCCAATATCCGTCAATTACTATTCACAAATACATTTTCAGTGTTCAGCTCCGGTATAATCCCCCATATTTTAGAGGGAGAAAGGATAAGAACTGACCTGTCCAAAGCCCAGAGGGTGCTGCTGCTGTCCCGTCACCTTTTGCTGCCGGGACAGGAGGGGGGCGGATGGGAAGAGGGGGACGGATGAGGGAGTGCTCTGTTGTCCTACGAAGTTGCAGCGTCCTTTGGACCGGGACCAGGACTCTGAGACTGGGACAGATAAGACAGGAGTAAGTCAGGTGAGGACATATATACTGTAAAACTAGATGCCAGCATTAGTTCACATGACCTGCCAGACAGTGAAGCTACCATCAAGACTTCAAACAACACACAAGCATGCATACCAGAGAGAAACAGAGTCACAAAGTGCATCATATTGTTCAATATAGAGAATATGAAAAATGTTCCTACAAGACATTCATTCCCAACTTGAACTTAAAAAGGAAAATGTTTTTCCACCACCCAGGATTCGACCGTTGACCACTGAAAATATCTCATCTACGTTACATTAACTGATCAAGATGCCCTAAGCCACATGTAAAAATATAGAAATTAAATTGTTTAAGCAACATTGTATTTGCATTAAGTGAGGCGGACCTTGTAGTTGCATTAATAAGGTCAATGTGTAGCACTTTACAATGCCATAATTTACAGAGTTTAATATTATGGTGGCTGTGGTGACCTTTAGGATGAACTTTTGCAAAGTGAATTATAAATAGAACAAGCACAGAATCCTCATGTGGAGCAGAGTATCTTCACAAAGCAGCTAAAGGCTACAGAAGGACTAAAGAGCAGCATATTATGTGACTGGTCGTAGTGGGTCCCAAACGCCTGAGGACACCACCAAACACAAAATATTTGCAGATATTTCAGAAATGCAAATATGAATTTGAAAAAAGGGCTGTGCAATGCACAGCACAAACAACCCAAACCCTAACCAGGCAAACCTGAGGGGAAAACAATACCTGAAGACAAGTTCATAAAGTTCACCTTTATGTGACACAGCGGCATCTGGATGGAGCCAAGTGAACAAAACCAGTCTAGGTATTTTAAGTACAGTCAAGTAGTTAACAGCTCCAACAATACCTACATTTTACTGACATTAATACTTTCTTTTTAGTTTTTATAACTATATAAACTGCGGATCGGGTGTCTCATCATCGACACGTCGCGATTCCCTCTGAGAACAAGCTGCAGCTGAAAAACCTCACTTACGACCATTATAAGTTTGGGAGTATTTTAGACAGAGACCAAACAACATGTTGCTTTGAAAGCTTGGAAATGCTTTATCACAATTGAGGATTAATTATTTTTTAGGGTGATGACGTTACAGACATCTGAAGCTTACTTCGAAAACCTCAATACAAGCTACGAATGTAGAGAAATGACCTTCAGTACAGCCCTACAATGGATAAAACAGAACAAATACAGTGGTGAATGTGTTGCTGACATGTTTCAACACTGGATCAACTACATGTTGGCAAAAGTATCACTTGATACTGCAGAAGCATGTCACTCCTGGATTGTGTGGAAGAGGTAGTAACAGAGCAGTAACCCTAATGAACAGAGAAAATTACCTTCTTCAAATGAAACGTCTGAGTTAGCTGAGTAGAGGAATGACAACTTAGCAGTGTAACTGTAATTTCTGCTGCTATTAAAGAATCATCCAACTTGTCTTGCACTTTTTCACAGTTGTGAATCTTCCCTAAAACTAGACAAAATCCATGAAGTTGGGGAAAGAAAAAGAAACAGATTGTTGGCACTCAGAAAAGGCACATGAGGAGCAAAGTTGATCCTTGGACTCTGATCTGTATCAGTTTTAAATTCACTCCACCATGAGGAGAACAAAAGGGTGAAAGTTAAATCAGATCAGTGCCTTAGGGCAACTTTTGCTGCATGACAAGAACCAGCAGAGAAAAAAAAAAAAAAAAAAAAATATATATATATATATACACAGGCTCTGACTCAACACCAAATGAAATGCATCCACCTTTCCCTCCACTCTTACTCTCTTGTTCAAAAAAATACATTTGCTGTACTCTGAACTAAACGCTCCCTCTTCTTCCACTGTAAACTATTTCTGGATCACTGATGCAGGCATAACTTGGTGTTGTTGAATGAAGAGGGGTTAGTTTCAGTTAAGATATTCTTTTGAAGGGTTGGTGAGTTACTTAAGGGATTAACAGAGAAAATAAACCCTGAATCATATCACTGCTCAGATGTGGGGAGCTTGTTTTACTCTTTTCTGCGCAGCATCCAAATGCTAAATATAAATCCCAACATTTTTGACAAATTTCAAATGATGCACATATGTAAACATTTATTTTCAATTTTTCTTTGGAAACTTTCCTGAAAGAAAACTGCTATTTTGATGGAGGGAAAGCCATTAAGGAGGACTTTCAGGTAATGTCAGCATTGCCTGCTATGGATGCATTTCTGAGGTATTGGTACAATTTGGCCAGTTCTCTGTTGGTGTCTCTTGATCACCTGTTAAAGCCTCTATGACCCACTAGGGGGCGGTAAGCCCCTACTGCTTCCGTATGACCTGCAATGCAGACATCAGGAAAGCACAGGTGACAGACCACATGACAGGTGGCAGATGAGGACACATTTATGCATGGAGGGGAAAACTTTTCTCGGTGTTGACACACGCTATTTTAGCTTGAAGTGAAAAAAATTGTTATAATCTCACAACAGACATCTCTGTCCATTTCTTTTCACCTATGACATTTATCACATGTATAATCAATAAGTCATACAGTTAAAACAAGCAGAAATATTTGTTCCCTGTTAGAAAGGTAAACGTCCACACTGACCTGTTCTCTGGACACGTTCCTCTGTCCCTTGAGTGTTGTTGTTCTGCACTCTCATTGGTGGAACCACCATTGTCCTGACACCACGGGGACTCCTGCCCTGCACTGCAGGGGAAGGCAGTGGTGCTACCATGGCAGCCAAAGGTGGGCGGTTGTTGTGATTACTGTTGTCAAGGAAACGGTAGGTACTGTTACCACGTGGGGAGGTTGATGTGTCGGACGTGGGGGAACCCTCTACTGTGTCACAGCCGCTCTCGTGGCCGTCGTCCTCGGACATGCTGAACACAAATGAGAAACAACACATTAAGATGGCTGGAACTTAATAGTGTTTTTCTCTTTTAGAACATTACTACCTTTGTCTTTTTGGATGTGTGTTCGTATGTCCAAGTAACTACCTGTTGGGTCTCTTGCATGGAGAGACAGAGGGGCTTGACTGAAGTGAGTTGGAGGCAAAAGAACTGGTGCTGAGGCTGCTGTCGGGGCTGCTGAGGGAACACACTCTCTCCATAGACACACTGGTGTGTCTGCAAGCCTCACACGCACACTCGTCTTTACACCTACGGAAGAACAACGCAGGTTTAGCTTTTCTAAGGCTCAGACCATGTTTAAAGCTCTTGGTAGTAGATTTATGGATGACTGAAAGCTTTAAATTTACAAACTGTTAGAGAATTTGCTTAAAGCAGACACTGCCTGACTTTTTGTGTTATATCAGGGGAAGGTCACAGTTCTCTGCTCAGCATTGGAGTGAGATCTTCTCTATGTCTTTCTATGGGCCTGAACAGGTTGATTTTAATAATCCCATTTGTTGCTGATGTCACTCACTCGCTCAGGCGGCATGTCTGAGGGTCTTCATCTTCCCCCTCGTCCTCTCCGTCGGTCAGTTCACTGTGGATGCTGATCACGCTAGCAGCAGGGCTTGGTGTGTCGCCCATCAGAACCGCCACATCTCGCTGTTGTTGACTGGAAAGGTTCAGCTGGCTGTTACCATTTGGCACCACCTCTTTGAAGCAGCTCACTTCCTCCTCTGCATCATCTTCCTCTTCATCTGTGTTTTGAACTTCCTGTTGCCTGGTTTCCATCAGAGGCACCTCCCTCTGAGGCTGCTCCCTTTGTGCCGCTGCCTGTCCGACATCGAACATCTTGGGGGTTCGACATGCTGATATGTGAACGTTGCTGGGGAAGGACAGGTTCCTTTGAACACAACAGTTATTATATTAGATATAAAGAAAACAGGAGAGGACTTTTACTTCAAAAGGCACGACTAAGGAGCCGAATCTCACCTGTTACTGTGGCTGTGTCTGTTCCTTTTATTGGCTGGCTGGGGCCACACAACATGAGCTATGCCAATATTGATTGGCTGATGGGCAGAGAGGGCCGGCATCTGATTAGTCAGGAGAGGCTGTTGCATCAGTGAATTGTAGTGACTGTGGGGACGCACTTTCCTGTTAAAATGCATCAAAAGAAAAAACTATAGAAAGTGCAAGAGAAACATAAAGCAGCCCTATACTTTTGGTGGAAATATGTGATAGGGATTGATTACATATATGAAAACAAACCTAAGTAACAATTCATAAGAATTCTAAAATAAAATGTGATGATTCCCAGTGTTGTATTGCACATTTGCAAATGAAAACCCCTGTTAGTTGGTTAAGCATTTACATGGACACACACACACACACACACACACACAGTAGGAGTACAGCTCTGTTAGCCTTTTTCTTGAATGAATGCAACAAGAGAGGTTTGAGAGTAGAATGACCTACCGCCAGTCGCTTATTCTCTGTGGGCCGGCTGTGGTGTCGTTGGTAAGGGAGGATGGGGGTGGCGGAGGGGGGTGAGAGGGCGGAGGACCCACTGGAGTCATCTGCTGCCAGGCTGCTGGGACGAGGAGCTGCTGTCCCCGGCTAGACCAGGCCTGCCACAGGGTCAGATCAGGGATGTTATGCAATTATCTATTGATCCCCACAGCTATGACCTATATTCGGTCCCCTAGATCTAGGCCTGATGTTGGGCTCAGAGGTTATGTTAGGGATTCAAAAAAAAATTTTAATCCAAAGACCAACCCTGCAGACAATGTGTCTTACCTGAGCAATTACACCAGGCCTCACTGGTAAGGGCTGTATTGGAGGGGCCTGAGTTACCATGGGAACAGCGAACCCAGCTGTTTGGTTAAGGTTACCTTAAAAAATAAAAAATAAAAAACAAGCAGAAAAACAAATCTGTCATTAATACAGGCCATGGCTAAATTTAACAGCATTTTAGTAAAGCTATGGTACCACTCCCTTACATTAGGACCTTTAGATTGGAACAGATTAAGGACTGTCTTCTGAATCATTCTCATAACACTGTAAAATCATTTAAAAATGCAACCTTTGTATTAAAATTACTAAAAAAATGTGCTTAAAAAAAATGTTATCATTTAAGCAGTGTACAGTCTACATACCTTGCATGGTGGGAGGACAGAGAAGAAGGGCAGGTGGGAATGAGTCACTGCACCCAAACTGAGCATTCCCAGCTGCTAGAGCTATCCCAGGATGCAACACTGAAGAAGCTGACTGGGTTATAGCCTTCATTAGAAAAAAGTACAAAGAGGCAGTAGCAGAGAGTTAAAAATAGAGAACATAGAGAAAGAGAAAATATGAAACATTACATAACTAACAATTACACATATTTATAGGCGTTTATTTATATTCGCCGTCCTGAAAAACATGGGGTGTTGCCAAGTGTTCTAAAATAACAAGCAGTACTATGTTTAATGACTTATTCATTTTAGAAGCTAAATAGCAGTGTTAGTATTTTAAAAAGAACTGACTGTGGTGTCTGTGAATCAAGATCTTTCTCACACCGACATAAATAATCACTGAGTAATAAAAAATATAATAATATGGGGGTAAAACCGTGGTCCAGTAAGACAGAAACTGTTCTCACAGCAAACACACACATGGCTACAGAATCTCACCTGAGTGTGGACTGGTATGTTGCTGTAAGCCAGAGGGAGGCCAGAGGAGGCAGTGGGGGCTACAGGAGGTCTTGAGAAATGAATGGTGTTCTGATTCAGAGCATCAAAAACTGCATTGGTGGGCCAACTGTGGCACATGTCCATGATACGGAAAGATGACTGCACACTGTAGGGGATCAGACGAAGAAATGTTTTAACTGAAATTCCTACTACAGTCAACAATCACACACTTATACCATCCTTCTGCAGTGTTTATCACAGGATTTGTGAGGCTATGGTGGGTGGACATCGACCCTCTAGGGGGGGCCCTGGGGGATGGCCCCTCCATAAGAAAAATGTGTACATTTTAAAAGTTTAGTGCATTAATTTATTGCACTTTAAAAGCAAAATAAAGAGTCTAGATCTATGAAGAACTTTGCACTCTTGTTGACAATTTTGTGGCCTAGTAAACATTTTGATCATAAAGACACTGTATAGACATAAAGGGTGATGAAACAGCAAATAAATCAACTAATTTATTTCATGTTTTTCCAGCAACCCTAAATCAAAGAATAATTTACAAAAGTAATTTATTGTATGATGTGCTCGTATTGCGAACAATTAATACTGAATAGCCTTTCTTCAGGTAAGACCCAATACTGTAACACTTTGTAAATTGAGAAAAAAGACAGAATAAAGTCATTAACCCTGCCAACACTGATGAAACCCTTAGTTAAAGTTACCGTAATGACATCAAAATAAAAGTGGTTGTCTCGAGTTTGATGCCAATGTGTGCGAGCGCGCAAGTTTACAGCAGAGGCGGAAACACAACGTTAAAAGTCTTTAATGTTAATATATTTTCGGTTCATTTTGAAACTATGGTGGAACAAATTAGACTGTGGCGGGCCACCACGGTCTCATTAATTAATGGGAAACACTGCTCTGTACATTACTAGTGACTACAGGACAGGGCAACAAAACAAACAAGAGCGTGTTTTTGTGTCAGAATGACTTGTAGCAGCCTTACTGGTTACTGTGTGGGTAGTCCAGCAGATGAGTCATAGTGAGGAAGGGGTGATTGAGGACGCTGGAGGGAACAGTTCTGTCTTCAGCATCGATCAGCAACATGCTCCTCAGCAGAGAGACAAACTCCCTCCTGTCAACCTTCTCTGCTTGCATGTCACTGTTATCAGGACTCAACACCAAGTTCACCTGATGGATGGAGGCAATGAGGGGCACCGACAGAAAACACACAAAGGGCAACAGTTCATGTTACAATTAAGAAACCCATGAACACTTGAACTGATCAGCTGATAGGATTGTTTTATAGCAGAGCAACAAGCTTAAATGTGTTCTGAAATGTGATCATGAAGTTAAACATATTCAAATGATCTTGAAACGTAACCCTGAAAATGCTATCTCTTGTGGCTCTTATGTTGGATTTGCTCAGTTTGAATTTGATCAGTCATTTGGCCTGGCTGGACTCACGTGAGCTATGTCATCCAGACAGCTGAAGATGTACTTTCTGGCCTCTTTGGATTTAAGTCCCGTCTCTTTCTCATGCTCTTCTGTTGTCTAAAGGAGGATCAGAAATATTAAGAATATTAAAAAAAATTCCAGGAAGTAAAGATTTTTGTATAAACACATGTATGCTGCGTGTTGAAAGCTACCACCAGATTCCTCATGTAAATGATAAAGAATGAAAGGTCAAAGTAATAGATAAAATATACACAGGCAGTGGGAGCAAACTCTGCGTTTCCATGTAAATCAAAAGTGTTAGGGATTTGAGTTTTTGCTGGAAAGTACACGGACAGATAAATATTAGGCTCACATTCATTTAAAATTTATTTAGAGCTCAGCCAGTAGTCTAAACAGTTTCACATTTCCTAGAGCTTTTCTCAGGGTGTTCTGGCTTTCTCCTGTTTTGACAAGCTTATCCAGCTGTGTCCTATTGGGAATGTACTTCCACTATCCCCCTGCTTTACCCCCCCCCCCCCACACACACACACACTACAAGGAGTTTCACTTGAATTTCCAATGAACATCCTGCTTTTTTCAATTTCAGATCTCACCCTGCCAGTTTATCTGTCTGTGCCCCCCCACCACCATAGGAATTAGTTACTGTTGATGATGTGTGGTTGACAGGAGGATATGTTTGCAGGTCTATAACATGCATGTAATGTGTGCATATATTTGTGTGCAGGTACTTTTAGTCTCCAGGAGGCGTAGGGAGAGTCAGACTCTTTGGAGAAGAAACGAGAGGTCTTGGTGCCCTTGTTGAGCAGCTGCTCGGGAGGCAGGCCCTGAGTCTGAGAGATGTACCGGATCTGAGCAGAGAGAGATGGGAAACGGGAAGGAAGAGGCAGTGAAAAGGAGACGAGAAAATGAAATGAAAAAATTAATTTATGTATAGCGAGATGACGGAAGAAGTGAAACATGACAGTGTGGGAAATGTGAAAAAAAAAAAAATCACACATCACAACTTGGCTGAAAGTAAGATGATCTAAAACTAAAGTAAACTTAAATGGAATTTAAATTTATTTTACCCAGTTACTGAATGACAGCAGATGTACTGTAATCATAAACAATTCTTTACATCAGCAGTTACTAGTTTGGAGGAAAATTTACTATTTCTCGCCAGCATGTAAACTGTAAACGTCAAAATCCCTGCACTTCAATCTTTACTGCTCTGTCAAACTGACATAGTTCAAGTGCTTCATGGGACCAAGGTGGATGCAGCTAACAAGCCAAACATACAGAAAGGGAGTCAGAGGTTACTGACATTTGTCAGCAAGATTTAGCAAAAAAAACACATCATATAATACACTGAAGATTCAGTGCAGGATAAAATAGCTTTTAAAACCTTCATTAGTCATAAAACGTGAAACGTACGTATTGACGAAGCGTCATTATGTCACACAAACATCAAAATAAGGGGTCGGTATATTCATTTCTCACATGCTTGTGGTTCATTGGTTCTAATCTTCCATATTTTACAAAAACATTATTACTGATGTTTTCTCTTCAATACACCTTACCTACAAATATGAGAAACATATTATTCACTCCCCTGCCCAGTTAGTGGCTGTTTAGCTCACCTGTAGAGCAGCCACATACTAAACTCCTGTATCAGCCTTGGTCTTGTGTTTTATCTGCAAGACCCATGTTTTAATGTCTGTGTGGAAATGTGATCACATATGATCAAATAAAATGTGTGCGTCCTGGTCATAGCTTAGATATCAAATCCTACTGCGCCTCCGAGCGTCTCTCCTGGCGGTTTGCTGACAGCGCTGGCAGCCTAATGCAAGTCACTTGACACTAATAAAGGAGGTTGTACTAGTGTCTGGTTCAAAAGTTGTGTAGCCAACTTCTGACAGTCAGTATCACGGCTGAGAGGATCAGAGCAGCCATCATACACAAGTCGTGCCGCCTTCCATTCCTCTTTCCCTGCGTTTCCATCGCAGGTTTGTGGATAGATCAATTTGACTCTGGGTTTCTCGTCTAACAGACAGTAAAATACATTGCATAGGGAGAGGTTGTTGTTGTTAACCTGAACAATATGATACAACTGAATCATGCAAATTGATTACACGTGGTCACTGCGGGGTTCCAAAAACATGGCTCTGATGTAAAACTGCTTCACTGACCATAGAAATGTATTTCTACTGATCTGATAATCAGTTTTTCAAGACAGATTTAAAGTTGTGGTTTCCAGCACCGTTTGATATCAAAGTTGTAAAATATATTTTGGTGTACTATAGTGAAATTAACCATCTGCAAATTTCCCAGACATGTGCTGACTTTTCCCAAGAATTCATCTGACTCGCTGGCCTGCCCTGTCTTGTCAAATGCCATGATACTCCAGAAAATCCATGACCACTGGACATCCTACAGAAATACGTTTCACAGCCTGTATGTGTGCATGAGTGCACGTGTCTATGGCCCAGAACAAACACACTGACTGGCCAGAGGGCACTGGACTGAGAACCTGCTGATGGTGCAGTGAACGCTCACCAGTGTGTGTGTGTGTGTGCGCGTGCACGCACACACATACGCGCACACATGTCTACCATCAGGCTTATGTTTATAAATACATTTTGCTGTGTAGAGTGGAACTGTAGTGAGCCTTGGCATAGCACAGCATACTTTTGGGGGCTCAATGTGCATGTGTGAGTGCGCGAGCGTGTCCTGGCATGGCCCAATGGTACAACAGGGCAGTCACTGCTCAGCGAAGCTCTATCTCTGACTGATGACTGTCCAAACTGCTAGCTACTGCTGGAGCCAGAAGTGACACCTCACTAAAAGCCTCTCGGAAAACAGACACATGCATTAACAGGGGCTCCCCAAACACGCCATCGATTCTTCCAAAAAATGTTAATATACAAGAACGTTTGGTCCTGGTGTGTACTATGGAAGTAAAGCCAATTTACTTCCATTTGGCAAATAAGGCTCAATAAGTTAGAGCTTTGGAGAACTTGCCCATAAAAAGGTCACATATTATCCCCCCCCCCAACATAATAAATGCCAAGACACGACAAAACAAGGGTGAAAACATGATGGGCTTCATTCTGGTCACAGAGTTGCCTATAGTCAAACAGGTAAAATCCTGTACTGGTCTGTGAATGCCCCGCAACCCTGTATGCAGGATAAGCGGTTGACGATGGATGTATGGTCTGTGAATGAGATGTGAGCCTTTTCCCATGCTCCCTCTCCCTTGCCGAGGGACTCCATTTAAAGTCCCAGCTGTGTACTTCACAGCGCAGAACAATCTGGGAAGATAACACATTGCCAAGAACAATTTCCTGATTCACTCAGTCCAGATTAGTATTTGGTGGATTTCATGCTGGATTTGTTGGACTTCAGTCATACAGCCAGCCAGCGAGATCAGGGAGCAACAACAAATAAAGGTTTAACTATATAACGAACATACCGTTTTGGCTACTGGGAAAGCACAGAACTAAGACACATTAAATATGTATTCTGTAATCTCTGAGAAACGTGATTTCCATGTGTTTATTTTGTCCTCTTTACTCCCCCTCCCTTGTGGGAGGGAAGGTTATATCTTTAGGTTCACTTCTTACCTCCCATAGAGTGTGTGCGCCCGTGATACAGTAGCTTGTAGCTCTTACCCGTGTGTGTGTGTGTGCGTGCGTGCGTGCAAGGAATGTTACCTGGTCGTACTCCAGTGCTCCGGGGTAGAGGGGCCAGCCCAAGAAGAGCTCAGCTATCACACAGCCCAGTGACCACATGTCTATGGCCTCGCAAAATGGCAGGCCTAAAATAATCTCTGGAGCCCTACAGAAAAGAGAAGCAGAACAGGTTAAGGCCAGGAGTTGGGTCGCCATATACAGTCGTATGCAAAAGTTTAGGTACCCCGGACAATTTCCATGATTGTCATTTATATAGGTGTTTGGATCACCAATTTCATTTTGAGCTAGCAAATAACTGAAAGACACATAATATATAACATAACATAATATTTCAGTCGTGAAATGAGGTTTATTGGATGAACCAAAAATGTGCAATATCCATCCAAACGAAAGCAGACAGGTGCATAAATTTGGGCAACCCAACAGAAATATCAAATTAATATTTAGTTGAGCCTCCTTTTGCGGGAAATAACGGACGGTCTCTCTCTCTCTCTCTCTCTCCCCTCTCTCCTAATAAGAATCTATCCATCTATCTATCTATCTCTCTATCTATCTCTATATCTATCTATATCTCCATCGCTCTCTCTCTCTCTCTCTATATATCTATCTCTATCTATATCTCTATATATATATACACACACACACACACACACACACACACACACAGAATGATGTGCTATCTAATTAGTGCTTTATACTCACAATATAGAAGCAAGCAGCTGAGTTTAGTTGTTAGTTATTTTTTGGTAAATTATACACAGAAACTGTCCATACAGTTATGAAAGCTGAATACTACATTATATAAAATAGGATGAAGCCTAAGCTTATTGCGCCTCCTCTTAATACTTAACAATTTTACTTACTCTTACTCTACCCTATCAGTGAAACAAAAATAAATATGTGATAAAGAAGCACACCAACATTCAACAGAAACAAATAAACAAAACACTATAATTCATTTCTCAGTGTTGTTTTCATATTTTCTAACTTTCAAAAATGTTTAACATTTTCTTAGAACTTACAGATATTGCTACATTATTTTAGTTAATTATTACAACTATTCCATAATTTAACCCCTCTAACAGCACCACCATTTCACATTACCCTCTTTTTTGCAAACATAATATCTCCTGATTGGCTACGTGCTCTCCTTCTTTCAATAATACATGCCATGGATTCAGTCAGGAAATTCTGTATTGTGCTCCAACATTAAAGTTCTGAAGTCTACAGAGTCCATACATTTTAAGGCAGATAAATTCATAAATAATGAGTTGGTTAGGTTTATAGTTATTAGGTTTATCATTATAGACAGACTTGCCGACAATTCTTATGGCTCTTTGATGCAGTATAAAAATGGAATTTGTGCTAGTTTTGTAAGTGTTTCCACATACTTCCAATATGTAATGTATGGAACTATGAGTGAGCAGTATAGAATAAATAGGGAGTTATGATCAAGATGCCCTTGGTTTTGTGCAGATTGCAAAAGACTTAAGACAGTTTTGATTTGATATGATTTATGTGAGGTTTCCAACAGAATGTATGGTCTATTACCGCTCCCAAGAATTTGTTTTCATACACTCAATTTCTACATCATTAATCATGAGTTACTTCAAAATTTATTTTATGATTTCCAAACACAATGAATGTTGTTTGACTTAGATTTAATGACAATTTATTACCGTAATCAGCAGATAATGGCTTTAACTAGTTTGATCGGTGGTCTCTAAAAAGGCCAATCAGAAAAGCTGATCAGATGATGCAATACTCGACAGACAAATTTTCAACGGCAGCTAAAATAGTTTTACTACACGGTCTGAGCAGTTTTCAAAGCTAGCTAGCACCAAAGTCCTTTTCAGACAGAGAGATATTGATGCAGCCAGTTAATCATTTACAATGACAGTTCAGCAGCAATCAGACAAGATGAGCAACAAGCAGGAGCGATCATGTGAAACTGTCGCGGTCATGCTAATCTCTCACACACACGCTGCCCGCAACCAGAGTTTAATTGTCTTGACTCACAGCGCATCAGGCAGAGAGAGACTGATCCTTCAGTGAGTGAGTTTCCTGATGGAAAGAGAGGCGCCACTCAATCAGCTGACTGCCTCTCTCTCCCCCTCTCTCCATTTTCGTTTTAAAAAACAGACACATTTTGCTACATTTCCGCCTCCCATCCAGATTAAAACGGCGAATCAAAAGAACTAAAACGGAGAAGTTTGACATCACCGCTGACCCCGTGGGCAAAAACGGAGGACTTTATAAAACAATGACACAGACACTCACATTTGGCTTTCTGATTTGGTCTCATTAGTGATGCAAAGTGAAAACACGATGCTCTGTAAATCACCTCTGTACTATATTCCGTGTGTGTCTCCATGTTCGGTCCCATTCAAGCCGTGTTTACTGGGAGGCTGCTGAGCGCAGTGTCGTTGACCGCTCGCTCGGCTCCGGTTCTAGGGCGCCACTCTGACGTTATCCTGGCCTGTAAACCTCCGGTGCTTGAGTAGAGGTGTAACGTTAAACACAAAACAGTCCCCTGGAGCTCCGAGCTGAGACAGCAGTGTCCACTAGGCTAACTGGGCTGATTATATAAAGGTGCGTTCCCACCGAAAGCGAATCCAGCGTTTTGGGCAGCTTGATTACATACAAAGTCAATGCAATTGAGGCGTTTGTCGCGCAATTCGCTGGTTTGCGCGAGTTCAAATTTTTCAACTTGGGCGAGAAATTCGCTTGATGTGATGTTGCGAAAGCCTATCAGCGGTGAAATTGTCCAAACGTCACCGCCGGCTTCGGAGCGTTGTTTGGAGAGAACCAGGCGAGCGGTGTAATGACAATCCACTGGCCGACGGGGAGCTGCTAAAGAACGGGGAAGTGTACGGGGAGCAGCGCTGCAGCTTTCGGAGAAATAAACACCCGTAGTGGGTCTGGATTCTGCTCTGACAACTACGCCGTTTACCAGCGAGAGGAGCTCAGAGTTAACTGCTTTTATTAAATTAGCTTTTTACTTTAGTTTTTGGAATTACAACTTGAGTTATCTTCCGTGCACATCCGGTTCCACTGTTGTTAGCGTCGGATGGCAGTAGTAGTCTGCTGGACTACTACTTAATTTTTATATACCGCGGTCTGCGGTTACTTTAGCAACAACAAGCAACACTTTGTTCATCAGCAAACTTTAACATTCATTTTATGACGCCCAACAGTTACAGTGTTGCCTTTGTAGACAGCGGACGACGCAGGCAGCGAGGCAGCCGACTTGCGATGTTGACAGAGCTGCCAACTGCATGTATAGCCACAGAACTAAAACTGATAGATTGTGCACTGTAGCACAGGTAACAAAACATTTAGTATTAGTATAATGCAATGGTATACAACACCTTGCATTATTGGGGGGCTCATATATTTACTTTTAGCTAGCATGTTTAATTAGGATGTAGTTAACCTTTGATTCATTTTGAAAACTGACTAAATGACACACATTTCAACTCATCTTACGGGAAAGGTTTTATAATTTATATGATCCTATTCCACCTTTGAAATTTTATTAAGAAAACGTTGAAGTTAAATTGAGTTCAGCTTAAGAATACCACAAAGCAAAGCACATAGCTGTTTTGTGCTAAGAAATCAGTCTCATCAACAGGTTATTGAGGGATCGCATACTGAACATTACACCACGTGACATGCATGCTGTGTTATTGCAACAAGTAACTAAATCTTTTTCAGCAAATGGACTTTGCCACTTACACAATTCAAAAGGGACTAGTAATCTTGCAGCAGTAGTGTGAGGCAGCATTTGAAAACAATGGGCTATTAGGCCTGGACACTGCAGCTGAGCAACAGTACCACAAATAGCAACCACTGCTGTGACGACCACAGGGGAAATGAATGTTGCCAAGCAACAACCTGAGGCAAGACCATCATATAACAGTCTTACAGGGTGATAAACGGGGCCATCACTCATCATTCCATATGTGTGCGACTGAGCACGTGTGTATGCCTGTAAACACACAATTGCAGATGTCAAATCCATCACGTTTACAGCGCAGCCCATGCTTTGAGTTTTCCTAGTCTTAAGTGCTCCAACAGAGGTGGATTTTCTGTGTGTCAAAGATGTAAAAACACCACAAAAGAATCAATCCTAAAAAAAAAAAATAAGGACTGCACAGACTTTATTTTCTTACACAGCTTTCAGTTCTGCTTATCCCATGCTGCACAAACTAAAGATCAACCAAGGTAAAATTAAGCAATTCCTCAAGATTACAAAAACCTAAAACCCATTCACTGACTGGAAAAGAGGAAACTGAGATGGGGAGGATTTCTACTGTACGTTGGTATCACATCCGTGGCTTCTGCTGTTGCTTAATGTTTGAGGCTCAGATGAAAACAGTTTCACCTCCCGCAATCTCCTGTTGAAACTAAAACTCTTTTTGCTGCCATAAAGTCTGGGAAGACATTTAAAACATTATCTTTGACAGTAATAAAAGTATTTTGACTTCAGACAGACGTTAGCTGGGCCCGTCTATCCAGGAGATGAGTGTTAACTGCGGATGTTGAACAAATGTGCACCAACACGACTCGCCATGGCCTGCATAGGCCCCCTGGCCATGTCTGACCCCAACCACTAAGGCCTTCAAAAATGAGTTCTCCAGGGAGAAAAATAAAAATAAAAATCTGAGCAAAAACAATAGGTTCCTTGCACTTTCGTGCTCTGCACCTGTTGGTGCCCTTGCACTTTCGTGCTCGGCCCTAAAAAAGGATTGTGTGTTGCTCCCGGCTATACTGCCAGAGTCATAAAAGCTGCAGCAATGGCCTCAGCTTTCCAGAGCTATAAAAGCTCATCACATAGCATGTATAACACACCCAGACACCCACAGGTGTTTGGCAGCCAGACCAGCTTCCAGAACTAACTGGTCACACTAGAGAGCAGCAGTTATGACAAGAACAAACACTGCATACCACACTGCTGCTGTACACATTGAAGTGAGAGAACTACAGATACATACACACACACACACACACACACACACACACACACACTTCAGCATGTACAGTGTAAGTGTGTTAAACATAACGAGATGGGACTCGGTACAGGACATGTGTGCAGAGTGCTTTAACATCTGTAGACAAAGCTGATCCATCATGATCACATAT